GGGGGGGGGGGCAAATGAATAATAAATGAACAAGCATATGAATAATATATTCATTTGTTGTAATGGAAATTTTATATCTTCCTATGTTTTGTATTCTGCATTCGGATACATAGCCACCCAAATTTCCCGGGGGAGCATACCCCCGTACCCCCCTAAAAGTTCATTGTTCTTTATGGTGCATGGATCGAAGTAACACAGGGTAAAATTACCTGGACACCTCCTAGGATTTTCTCAGCCCCCCTTGACTAGAAATCCTGGCTACATCACTGTGTGAAATGTCAAAGTTCTCCTTGTATTAAGCAATATATTGTGATATATAAAACAAAGCTTGCCTAGTTATTGCAAGAGTGACATGAAGAAACAGAATATGCAAGGTGGCTTGTTCCATGGCAGGCTGACTGTCTGCTACGCAGGCTAGGGACCGGCAGGGGTCCTGTACCCTTTATGGTTGAAATCCTGGAATACTTGGAATTGGTGTAAGCCTCATAAATCTTTACAAGAAGCTAGACAAAGCAGCTCTGTTGAATTTTGGTATTTATTTTCAAGTTGCTGGCAAGATGAAGTAGTTTAGTTCTTTTTTATAAATATTAAATACAATAGAGCATACCATTACCAAGTCCATGACCATGTTGTCCAAAAACATCTAATATCGGTAACTTAAGTTTCTTATCCTAAAATATTAGTATATATTACCTGTATCATGATATACATCATGCCCGAGACTGTAAAGTTTTATTATATGGGAAATGTCTCTATGGTGCATGGCAGTTGTACAGTAATGAATGCAGAGCATTTGAGAATGACTGCATTGTTGCAATGTGCAGAGCCACCAGTCAACTACAATGTTAAAATGTGTCTCTGTGTATGAAACTTCCTCTCAATTTACATGATAGAAGAAATAAATTCATTAAACCGATTTTTTAGGATTTTCTTTTTCCAATACGTTCTTCAAAGCCTCCTATAAATTTATTACTCTTAATAACTCCCACTGTTGGCCTGATTTATGAATTTGATTTATGAACAGCTCTCCAGCCCCCCCTCCATCCAAAACATCATCCTCCCAAACGTTGAAAGAAATCTCCTCTCCCTTCCCCCCGCTCGAAAACCCCACACTATCACATCAATGGGGCTTGGGAACTAATTGAAAAACTCCCTTAATGTTTTCGTAAATTTCTCTAAATTTTGCTATAAATTGTATAATTTTTAGTTTTTAATCAGTGTCACTCAGATATTTTACTTTTTTTCTTTCCTATCCAGTTCATGTTTTGCTGACTACGAAAACAATTTGCCGCCTGGGATTCAGGGTGTTCCACCACACACACACACCCCTGATTTTCCCCTGATTATCTTAATACTACATGTGTATTGTAGCAGCAAAGAATCTAAAAGATTCGCAAAAGTTAACCGTTGCGGGCGGCGGTCAAACGAAAATTCTGCACAACATTCAATAAAAACATTTCAAATACATCCTAGATCCTATATTTCATTTGTACCTGATAAGCCTGGTTTCCATATTGTCGTAAAAATAGAGTCACGATCTTTCTCAACGGCCAGTTTATAATAGTTTATACCTGTAAACCACATATAAATCATAAGTATTCCCTAGATATAATCACTCCGCGTATTTTCAGTTCTAAAATGTTGTATTTCGGCTGATGAGAAAGATCGTGACTCAATCTTTACGACCGTTACGACCATATGGAGACCAGACTCTTTTAAAAAAAGCTTATGTAAGCATGTCACACGATACGCAGCCGGACGTGGGGGAATTTCATTTTCCCTAATTTGGTAAAAAAAAACAGGGGGAATATGGAAGGAAATTGCTCCCAAAGAAATTTAGAAGACCAATGAAATTCGGGAAAATACTTGAGAATATGACGAAAATTTGGGCAAAATTGTCAGAAATGTATTAAATTCAGCTTATTTTATTATACAATTCTTTATCCAAATTCGGGCAAACTTTCCAGTGGTGAGGACATAAACAGTGATCAACGGCATCAACCCCCCGACGATATTGTGCCATCAATATTTCAATATGTCCGTATCTTATACTCACTGTAGATTCATATGGCTGAAAATCCTAACAAACTCGGAGGATATAAGATTGAATTCGTGAAACAATTGGATGCAAGGCTAACATGTCCAAAATGTAAATTTGTGCTGCGAAGTCCATTTCAGACTACATGTGGCCATCGCTACTGCGAAGACTGCATTAAAAATATCATCGATAAGTAAGTAATCAATATTCTGTCGCACTTTCTTGTGCCATCCTTGCAAATTGCGACTGTTGGGTTCAGGTAAGTTATAATATATTCAGACACAAACACTACAGAAAGTATACACTAATTATATATTCAATTCAGTTTTCTGTGTTCATGGATTGTTATAATTTCCGTATACTGTTGAGCGTTGTGATTAAAGTGCTAATAGTAATACCTTATTTTTAGGTTTAGAATGAAATTTTCCTAACCATTCTTGTTCTTTTGTAATAAATGCCTCTCCTCCTACAATACTTACTTCAATAATTTCTACAACTAATTCCAAAGCTCGGTCTTGGTCTTGAAATTTAAACGATGGAAAAAACACATTTGCATTCAAATATAAGCAATTTAAGCCGTCAGCGAATTTATGTTGCTGTGCGTTGCGCTGGGATCACGATACTAACATATATTTATGTACCGTATGTAAGTTGCAATCAGTGGTGACGTAATGTTCAGTAGAATTGGAGCTTTTACATCTAACATGGCGTAGCCACCCAACAGAAAACCGAAATTGTTCAGTACTAAAAGCGTTCTCGAAACTTAATTTAAATAGTAATAAAGTAAAGGAATCTACAGGTAAGAATATTACGTAACAAAAAAACTGTGCGCGATCGATACAATAAGACAAAAGACAATTTCAGTAACTTTACAGTAACGCCATTTAATACTCTTCACATAAAATTGGTTAGGAAACGTTTTTGCTTTCAGTTCATAGGAAAAAATATTCAATATCGGGGTAAGGTAATACTGTGCGTTCTACTTTGGCCTACAACCTTTGTCTTTGATTAATTATTTATCTTGATCAGAGCCGTCGCTTGCGAGTTTCTTGCATAATAGTATACGTTAGGCTGCGAAGGAGACTGGCTGCTTGTGTATTTTGATATTCAACCAAAACGCTTGTATAAAACAAAACGAAATAGTTCCGTTGGAAATGAAATTCAGTCAGCCTAAATTTGCCAGGGTGCAGTAACACGCAGTGTTTACATTTGAATTCATCAAAGCGGAACAAAAATTTAGCTTAGTTTTCCCACTCAGTCTTAGTTCTAAAATCTACACGTTTGAGAAATTTCCTGGAAATAAAATTATCTCGCTGAAAAGATACCGTACACAGAGCATACTGCGACATATTCCTACATTTCTAGAATGGAAACGCTAGAATCTAGATGTTTCTAATATCACGCTCGAACCGATTTTGGCAGCTGGACTAAATATGGTAATTTGACCCCAGAAGTGCTTACGTAATGCAATATGGGCCGAGGCTGGTCCATTTAGTGTTCCGAAAACTAATAATGGTCACATGACTCTTCTGACGGTTACGCGGAGGCTGCTCCATTTACTGTTCGGAGTACTCCGGATTTTCGGAACACTAATTAAATCGAACAAATAATGGTCACATGACTGTTCTGACGGTCACATGACTGCTCAGAGCAGTCATGTGACCGTTTTCGGTTCGATTCAATCAGTGTTCCGAAAATCCGGTGTACTCCGAACAGCCTCGGGTATACATGCGGGTTAAATATTCGTTGTCTGACAGTGACCTAAGGACTTCTATAAGGTCAATTAATACTACAATTGGTGTCACGTGGTGTCACAAGAAAATATATTTTCTTGATTAAATTAAGACGATTGTCGTCTGGGAGGAAACCGCAGTACATGCAGAAACCAACAATATTCCGCAGAGAGTTGACTAACATCTTTCTCATGAATATTTTGGGTGCTCAGTGATAATGGAACCCATCATCTCAGACTCTCAGTTATGTCTGTGAGCGGGCTACATCTAGAGATGAAATGCGGTTGCTCTGAGGTGGGAAAGCCTCTCACAAGGGAAAGTACCTCAAACTTTATCAGCAAAACTCAGGATAAGCATAGTAACAGGGGCCGGTTGTACAAAGGCCAGATAGCGCTATCCACCGGATAGTGATGTTTCCAACCTTTGTAAAATGTTCGAAAAAGAAGTATAAAAAACATTTAACTTATAAATACTAAAGTTTAATACGAGTTATACCAACCAACGATCTGATTTAACAAAGCTTGAAAAAATCACTATCCGGTGGATAGCGCTATCCGGCCTTCGTACAACCATTAACAATAGAAGAAACCATTAGCATTACAATAAACCTTGTTATCTATGTTTTTGTTCAAGTTTATGCAAAAATGTAGTCTTTCATCGTCGCGTGCGTATTGTATTTTTGCCCAACCAGCCAATAGCAACGGTGTTGTTCAGTTGCCCATTCATGACTTTAACAATAGGTCATTTTGAGCATCCCCATTGGTTGACTTGGGAAAAATACAATACGCACGTGACGATGAAAGACCACATTTTTGCATAAACCTGAACAACATAGATAATGAGGTTTATTGTGATTTTATGGAAAGGCTAATGAGTTTCCAAACCATCTCCTCTATTAACCATGGTACAACCGGCTCCTGTAGTTGAAGTGTATACAGTACAATACAATTATGTAATATTCAATCGAGTGAGATGCCAACAAAATCTTGATATTTACATAGTATACTATATAGTTTCGTACTAGACATAACGTGTCATACTTAAAATATCCCATATATATTGTCTAGTGGCGACAAAAAATGTCCCGAAGATAACACTGAACTGTCTCATGAACAAATTTTTCGAGATGGCTTTTGTAATCGGGAAATCTTGGAGCTGCCATGCTTCTGCACAAATAAAAATCTTGGTTGTGAATGGACTGGCCTGTTGAGAGCTATCGAGGTATTGTTTCTTTTTACACTTTTTGTCAGGCTATTTCTAGGTTTTTCTAAAAGTTAACGGCCTGATTTATTCAGTGAGTAATAATGACATCACTGTAGTGTTAGTATTTTAATTTATCTGATGAATTGTCCAAGATTGTGAGTGGGTCGAGTAAGACGGAATAAGTTTCTTTTTCAAACTTTAGGAGCATTATAAAGACTGCCTGTTTGTAAAACTGACTTGTCTAAATGAGGGATGCGACATTGAAATGCTCAGACGAGGTCTTGAAGAACATATGAAGAAGGAATGCACGTTCAAGAAGATACCTTGTGAATACTGTGGCTCAGAGCAATCACAACCACTGATGGAGGTTTGTTTCGGAACTTATTTCAATCCATTAGCCTCACAAATGAACACTCCCACAAACTATCACTCACACAACCCCCTCTCCCACACCAAAAGAACCAGACACATAAACACCCCCACAGACTAAACACCCCCATAAACATCTCCCACACAAATGAGCACGTGCAGACCAACCACAACCCTCCCACAAACGAACCCCCACAACTACAAACCATCACCCTCCCCCCCCCCCTCCACAAGCCATCACCCCACAAACGAAAACCCTCCTAATGGTACTATTACACTACAACTTTAATCAACTTTTTATGAACTAGGAACATTGTAACACCACTTGCACAAAATTTCCTCTGAAATGTCCGAAAGGATGCGGAAACAAGGTGCCTCGTTCGGAAATGGAAAATCACTTGGCACGCGATTGTCCTAAGGCAGAATCTGCTTGTCCTTTGGTGGGGCAGTGCGATTTTCAGGTAGGAAATGCCAGGAAATTTCTATTATTGTACAAGGATCCTCAATACGGACAATTCCAGTGTGCCAACAAAATTCTCAACATTTTGTTTAAAAAAAACTTTAAACGGACTCTCCAATGCAGACACCTCTGGAACACGGTACCGCGTTATTAGGACCTCCATAACGGACACATTTCTCTGTCCTATCGACTGGTACCGATGTGACTCGTGCAGCTTCGTTTTGTAAAATACTGAGTCAGTTCCCTCGAACATTTCTTACAAATCCTTCAAAACTTAGAATTTACCAATGCAAAATTCCTACTGTGAACACAGACTTTGATAGCCTTAACAAGTATTTCTTTGTTAAGGGTTCAAGAGCAGATATTAAAAAGCACATGGCAGAAAAACAGGTAGAACACGCGGCTATGGTAACCGATAGAATGTCATCCATGGAGACCAACCTCGGACAGATTCAGAATTCAATTCAACACCACCAAGAAGCTGTGGACAACGAAACGAAAAACTATAGTGAAGAATTGGCATCGTTACGTGACGACGTTGCCACTTTGCGTGCTGTAGTTGATCGTTCCCAGAATAGATCGCACGAAGTAGAAGAGAGCGCACGACCATTGCCCGCGGGAGAGCCGCAAGGCGCGGGAAAACCTGATGCCGACGAGATGAAGGATGTCAAAACGCGTTTGCAAAGGCTGGAAGATCAAGTGAAACAAATTCTAGTGAGAGAAAGACAAGCACTTGGTCGTGGACAGGTGGGAGAGCCACGGATTTCAAAATTCGACTTGATAGCGTAGTTCACTGTTTGGACAAGGTTGGGGTTAGGCTTAGCGTAAAAATCCGTGGGTTTCAATCATGTGATATTTTAGTATAATTTCACTAATTTCAATTTTAATTATAAATTTCAATTTATAATTTCAAGTGAGGGTCGATCATTGAACTGAGGTCAACTGAAACAACGAAAAAACAAAATGGCTGTCAACGCATCTTATGTAAATGAGTCGTCCCGGCCTTTACCGTCTGTGACGTCATATGAAACCGTTAATAGCTGTATATTTAAATTAAATTGTCCACATATTCAAACTTTTTCCAGATTGGTGGCCAGACAGGTGACAATGCAAACGAAACCGTCTCTGAACTTGAGAGAAGGGTTGCTGCCATGGAACACCAGACCACACTGAGTGAAGTGGAGATGGCAGACCATGATTTGAAGATTGGCATGTTGGAGACAACCTCCTATGATGGAATATTCTTTTGGAAGATTGATGACTTTGGAAGACGATTACAAGATGCTGTTGCCGGAAGATGTTTGTCCATCTACAGTCCACAATTCTATGTTGGTCGTTATGGATACAAGGTAATAACAAGTTAACAACAATAATACGGACACCCTTCCAATACAGGCATCTTTCTATTACGGGTACCTCTCTAATACAGGCACCTCTCAAATACAGGCATCTCTCTATTACGGAGACCTCTCTAGTACGGAAACTAGCTTTTCACTAGGGGCACCTCCCTAATACAGGCACCTTTCATATATGGGCTATGTCTCTAATACGGACACCCTTCCAATACTGGCATCTCTCTAGTACGGACAACTGTGACCCTGCACTGTATTAGAGAGGTCAGACTGTACTATATCAGCAGAGTGTTCAAATGCATTATTTGATTTAGGTGTGTTGCCGCGTGTATTTGAACGGTGATGGTATGGGCAAAGGCACGCATTTGTCCTTATTCTTCGTTGTGATGCGTGGTGCTTATGATGCCTTGCTACCCTGGCCATTTCAACAGAAAGTTTCATTTAAGTTGATCGATCAAACTGGAGATCAGCACATCATTGATAGCTTCAGACCAGATCCAAACAGCTCGAGTTTCCAAAGGCCCACAAGCAACATGAATATCGCGAGTGGATGTCCGCTGTTTGTGCCAAAATCAGTACTACATTCTCGAGGATATATTAGAGATGAGAAGGTATTCTTTAAAATTACCGTCGACCCCACAGGACTGCCAATTCATTAGCTCACACAAATGTAGGTGTTTGGTAATTGGCATTGTATACAACCTGTGATAGCTTGACCAACGAAAAACGAGTGATTTTGATAATATCGATTAATTAACATATAATAATCGCTAGATTTTCATTTCTTGGCATTATTAGCATACGCTTTTACTCCGGCCAACAGCTGACCAACTTACTCATGTAAGGGGCCCGACAATCTCACTCAGTCTCAGGCTAGCATTTGGCTATATTGTTGACCCTGGTTGATTTATGTATAGACTAGGACTCTTCTTAGTACTAAGCGGCTAATACGTAAATGCCTAAAGCCAAAAATAAAAGTATATATGTCAGCAATCAGCGCAAGTGTAGAGGCCCGGGACAAACTATAACTTTGGCCCCCTTGTCATTTCCATAATATAGTACTATGGTACCACCGTACCACGTTTGTCCCCCTCCCCCCTCCTCTGGCATTAGTCGCCGGAGTAAAAGCGTCCCACGTTCCTACGACTTTGCTAGAGTAGAAACGGTGTTCTGGCATTAAAACGGTCTGGTTAAAAGCCTTGGTAGAATCGGCAGACATTAGCTATGGAAACGTTGTTTGGCTTTAGACACAGTGCATGTGTTGCAAATTTGAATTTATGTTTTTGTTTGCGGAAACCTAGCCTGCGCGCAGACTATATAAACCACGACGACCAAAACTTTCGGGGGGTAGCGGAAGTGAAAACCCTGAGTCTCGGGTTGCACGACGACGTGCATTTAAAATATTGTATTGTCACCATGCAAACATTCGAACGACTTATTTGTTGCAAAATAATGATAAAACAAAGTGAAAGACAGTTTAAAGTCACGGCACTTGGTGATACATTTTCTGTAGAGTTAGTGAATAGGGTATGCGGCAAGAGCATGCAGTTTAATTATCTACAGGGTGTATAAAAAAAAAACTGAACAGATTTGAAATTGCTCTCAATTTCGCAAAACACCTATTTGTATCCGTTTTTTTATATATATAGCTTCTTTGGGTACTTATAATGTAGAATAATGAAAAAAATTACTCGAACTCAAATTTTGTGAACCAGGGGTGTGTGTTTTTTCCAACAAACTAAAAATGGCTCGCGCACAAAATTTAAAAGCTGTGATCATATTCTGAGTTAATAGATGGAACATTTGTCGGGTTTTTAATTACTGTACAAAATTTCAGACAATTTGGTTTAGTTTAAGTCCTTTAACTATTCATTTTGTTCTAAAAAGTCCGCCTTTCGTATGCTTAATTAAAGCCTTTACCTAATTTGCATACTGCTGACATATGCAAATTAGGCAAATGCATTAATTAAGCATGCAAATAGCTGATTTTTAGGAAAAATGTAAATTTGCGTGAATAGTTAAGGGGCTTAAACTAAACCAAATTATCTGAAATTTTGTACAGTAATTAAAAACCCGAGAAATTTTCCATCTGTTAACTCAAAATAATATTGCAGCTTTTAAATATTGTGCGCGAGCCATCTTTAGTTTGTTGGAAAAGACACCCCCCCCCCCCTGGTTCAGAAATTTTTCTCATTATTCTACATTATAAGTACCCAAAGAGGCTATATATATAAAAAACCGGATACAAATAGGTGTTTTGCGAAATTGAGAGCAATTTTCAATCTATTCAGTTTTTTTTTATACACCCTGTATATACGATTGTAAATTACTCTAAAAAATATATTAATAACGTTAATATTAACTCGAATAAAAAACATTACTTAATTAATAGTTAATTACTTTACATTTGTTATTGTATCTGATGTTGATTATATCTGATTAAAATAAAAATATAAAATTGCCTCCATTATTGCAAAAACGTTAATAGTCTATCTAGCATGAGCCGGATGTATGTGCGCATTAGCACTGTATACGATACGAAATGTGCTACGCACTGGTTGCTTTTTTAATGAACTCCCCAAAAATTATTTTGCAGAAAATATTTTCTCGTTTGCAGCCTTTTAGTTTTAAATTAATTATAACTGGTATAAAGTCTTGACAGCAGGGAGTGAATTTCCTGACAGACTCAACTTCAGAACGTTATATTGAGTTTTTTTCATCATTTAGAAGAAACTCGGCGAGCATTGTGATAAGATTTGAGCAGTCGTTGCGAGCTCACTTTTACGAATAGAATTTTTTGTATAAGTTAAAAGCAACTGGTCAACGTTGAAAACTTCTCCGATACATTGCAAGCCACAACACCAACCACCAAACTTGATTCAAACACACAACTCGAATCACACAACAGTTCAGTCATATTTTGCGCGAATTCCTGCGAGTTTTCAGTCTTCAAAATCTAAAACGTTTAAAACTGCAGCTTTTGACCAAAGTTAAGGGAGCACGAATACAGCGCGCAAAAATCGTGGTTGACAATTTATAGTTAACTATACGAAATTTTACGAAGGAATTCGCGCAACATATGGGATACCTGTGCATGATCTTCCAATCGCCAATAAAGATGGTAACCACAGATTTCAGTTGACCTAGAAAATAACAGAGTAAACATGAAATTATTGTGTTAAAAATACTGCCTCGTACACAGGCGCTTTAAATATAATACATGAAGTATCAGGCCAGCTGGTGACGCCCTTCTCTCGCCACTACACGCGTAAAAACGCTCAGGTTGATGCAGTACTGATGAAAACAGGATTGAACAATGTTTTGCTGCCCACATTGTTCACAGTTGTCAACAATATTGAACAATATTGTTACACCCGATTCAGGCTTGACAAGTGTGAACAACGTGGGCAGCGAAACATTGTTCAATCCTGTCAAACAGCAGGCTCAGCGTTTTTAGCCGTGTGCAATACTTCATGTAAACTCGTCATACGCGCATCGCTGTTTTTTTACAAAGAGACGCCTGGGTGCGAGGCAGTTAAAAAAATCCATCACAGTTAGGTGGGATGAGGCATTCATATGGAAAATCATATCCCACTTGACTGGGATTCTGCCTAGCGTCAACTTCGCACGCTGCTCGTATTCGGCAAATTTTCTCCCAGTATCAAAGACTCGTTTCCCCAGCGGACTTATAGTGAAACATTGAAAGCTTTCAGTCTGGTCAGCACCTTTTTCCATCTACCGAACTGACATTACGTCATTTTTGGAAGATGGAAGAGGTGTTAAAAGGCAATGTAACTAACCAAAACCCTACCCCTACTCTAACCTTAACCCAAACTCTAACCCTTACCCAATTAAAAAAATCCAAAAAGAAACAACTTTAGAAATTGATCAAATGACGTAAAGTCAGTTTGGTAGATGGAAAAAAGTGAAAACCTTTCAGTCTTACACACTACTGCCAATTTTCGGATATAGATTCGTGTCCCGCTGTTCATGAGTTAGGGTCAGCGGTTAGGCTCAGTATTCATAAACAGCGAGACATGAATTTATAACCTAATTTTCTGTCAGATGTCCACTGACCATATGAACCCGCACGAAATTTGATCAAGGGGGAGGCAGTCTTAAGACCCCTTTGTATTTCAATCGTAACGTGATGAACCATTTTCCTCTCTATCCAAGTCATTAGTTCCTATGCTTAGGACAGGTTGGCGGATAGCGCTATCCACCGGGGGCTGGTTGTTCAAAGCTGGATTCGGGCCAACCCTGGGTTAAAATTTAACCTGCTGTTGTAGTTTATGTATTTCTACACGTCTGTTTATTTCAAAAGTTCAGAGAAGAAAACTCCTACTGGTCCAGACAAGATCTCTGAAGAAATATTTCCAAATTTATAAACAAGTTGTTGGGTTTGGGACTTCAAGACAAATTGCAAAAATTCCAAAATCGAGCAGCAAGGGTGATTACCGGAGCTGACTACGATGTAAGATCGTCTGAAGTCCTAAACAAATTAGGCTGGGAAACCCTGGCTAGGAGACGAGAACAAAACAAGCTAGTATTGATATATAAAGTCTTGGGGAACCACACTGCGCCAAACCTTAAAGATCTTTTTCTCGGAGAAATGCATCGCAGAATATTTATGATTTACGCAATAGCGAAACTGATCTCTCGTTAAAAAAACCGAAAACGGAATTTCTAAAGAAAACATTTGGATACAGTGGAGCAATTCTATGGAATAGTCTCCCGCAAGATGTCAAGGCGGCTGGCAGAAAAATTTTTTGGGATCACTTTAAGGCTTGGTTACCAAGCACTGAACTATATATGTTGATATGTGCAATGGACCACTGAACGTTACCTTTACTTTCTCTAAGTATATAGCTTATAAAGCAAAAAAACGCAAATAGTACGTAACACAATCTGATAAGTAACTGAATTTTATGATTGGCACTAAAGTGCCTTATAATGGTTGTCTAATAACATATTGTGACATGAGTAAGGGGGTCTTCTTTATTACAGTTAAAATATTTCACTTTGTTTAGAATATTGCGGTAACTACTGTGAATATAGCTCTGCGTTCGGCAAAATATACATCATGATATTCAGCATCATGCTATCCTATTGTGCAATTGTTATATACATTCAAAAAATGATGAATCTGGGGGGCTGAAGCTGGTGCAAAGTGCACTATTGTTCCCAAGTTGGATCTTGGTATTATTTACTAACTAGTACATTGACATTGTATAAAATTACGACAAATCAAAATCTTTTCTAAAACCTAATACGAATACTTGCCAAATGAAATGATATTATGAAACCGAGTTTCTGTCAAATAGAAAGCAATAAGTAATTATCCCAAAGAATTTTTAGGAGTATCGAAATGAAATTTCAATCTTTATTGAAATTTGCTCGAAATTTGTTCGCCAGCGAATGTAGACAAAGCAAGATTCGGAAGAACAACCACAACAACGAACTTTAAATATCATTTCCATGCTGAAAGATGAATAACAATGTTTACATAATACAATACTTTATTACGCGATACGTATTACGTAATGATAACAAACTATCCATTGTATTTATATAGCTCAGTGCTTGGTAACCAAGCCTTAAAGTGATCCCAAAAAATTTTTCTGCAGGCGGCTGAGTCAATTACGTCATTTAAAACAATGGCGAAATTGCATTTAAGCAGATGATAAGCTAATTTCTCCAGGACCAAATGATGGGAGGACAATATAGATTGCGGGCGGGAGGGGGGTTAGTTTTGCGTGAGGGTGGGTGGGTACTTGTTTAGGGGGTGGAGGTTTGGGAGGAAGATGATAAAATTTTAGGGTGGGATTCTTACATATTTTGTTCTATATATAATTAACATTTAGCTCTTTGTGTGTATACGCCCTTCGTGGAAACCAGTTGTAAATAATTGTCGAAGTTAGCGTATTGAAATAAAGTTTTACATACATACAAGTTTGCTTTGAATTTTTAACCTAAGGTTAAGCTGACTCAGCTTTGAACAACTGGCCCTGGATGATTTTCAAGCTTTCTAAAATTGTCCGTTTATTGGTATAACTTAGATCAAACTCTAGCATTTAAAAGTGAAAGTATCTTTCTATTAATGGATGTTTCCAGCTAAAGACGAAATTTTGATCTAGACAAGAAGGACGAAATCCATTACCACAGCTGGAAAGAGCATCTTAAAATGAGTAAAATTGCAAAGTTTTGTGAATTGTTGTAAAATGAGAGTAATATAGCCATGTGAAGTTCGCAAATTTTGTATATATTTGCATTAGGCGCGGGAAAAATAACCGATTATAATTTTTGAGCCGAAAGTGGTTATTTTTACCGCGTGATACAAATATATACAAAATTTGCGAACTTCACACGGCTATATTTTTCACATTTTACAACAATTGGCAACCAATCTAAAAGTTTGCAGTTTTACTCATTTTAAGACGCTCTTTCTAGCTGTGGTGTTGGATTTCGTTCTTCTTGCCTTGATCAAAATTTAGTCTACAGCTGGGAATCATCCATTGAGAGGTCTAGATTTGTGTTGCAAATATCTGCATTGTTGCGCAGCCTAATTTTGGCACTGGAGCTGAGAAAATCGTTCAATTTGTCAGGGCGCGTTGCACGCATGAGATATTTTAATTTCAGTTGGAACTTGGACTAATCCCCTGACAATTGAAGAGCAAGCGAAGTTAAGACCTCATTAATCCCTGCTTAGAAATACAGAGACTACCCTTAAGGCAAACTGACTAATTTTAGAATAAATTTTGTTGTTTATTGAGGGTATACAATTTGTGGATTAAATTCAAATATTGGGCCAAGACATGAGAAGGCTTTAGGTTATCTTATAGTTTAGGTACACTGCTATCATCAGGGGAGAGTACACCATCCCAGTCTCTTACACATGCATAGGAAAACAATGCGTGGACTAAGGCTACGTTCACACTGTATACCAGATAGCTTTCCGTAGCGACGTGAAAAACAGCTATCCGTACCTTTCAGGAACGCTATTTTCAGAGGAATTATTGCAACGTAGAGATGTTGTTTCGCTCAGCTTCTGAAAGTTGTACATTCCGTATCGGGTAGGTGCTTTTTCGCACCGCTACGAAAAGCTATCCGGTATAGTGTCAACGCAGTAAAAAGGTTTTTTCACTGGCTTTGTATTAAAAGTTACTGGGAAAACGACATAAATGCGTGTTCTAGTTTGACAGCCAAACACTGCAGGTTTTCGCTGCGGGGTACTTGAGTTTCCTCCTGTAGTACCACTGGACCAAAAAGGCTGCATCTCTAGGAAGAGCAGTTTAGAACTTAGAGAGCTATCCAGTATAAACGAAGTTCAGTGTGAACTAAAAACTGGCTGTTGCTCGTTAATTTTAGCAGCAGGCAACGACATTGCATCTTCATACTGCTTTAATCCTTGCTATTATCAACCCGTCAATCAAACTTGGGAAAAATAATTGAAAAAACCTTTCTTGAACAAGACAGGACAAGCTGGGTACACAACATATCCTTCATTGTTATTTTTATTAACTTTTCATAAACGCAAGAAAGACGCACTAACAGAAATAACCATTTGTTGTCTATGTTTAAATGCAACGTAATACTTTACAGCTTTACAAACCATAATCCATATCCCGGTCAAAAGTTTTGAAAATAATTTTTAAGTAGTGTTTATAAATATTTAATTTTCCTTCGAGATTTTATTGCCTTTTGCAATGTCATGTTTCATTATGGATATAGCATATTTAATTTAATAACACTTTTGTATATATAGAGGCACATATTTTACTGAAAAACAAGAATTCTATGACAAATCCTAACAGAGGATTTTAACATGAAAATTTCAGCAGAAGATTTCATGATAAATTTTACTGGGTATAAACTGCCGTGGTATGTCTTTGAACTAGCTGAAAAAAAACTAGAAAGACTTGGACATTTCAAAAATGAAGACAAGGTGTCGAGGACAAACAAATTTTCCTGGAAACGTCGATGTGTTTCTAGTTTTGGTAACTTATATCTGTTTCAGGTAGTTCAGACACAAACCACGCCATTATCTGTCGACTGTAAATTATGCATGCATTATTTCAATGCCACGGCATCATGCCCTAATATTTCATGGGAGGATTTATGGCCGTCCCATTGCATGTTGCAA